ACTCGCTGGGAATGATATAATAACTGACCTCATGAGAGTAGGGTCAATGTAAAATAAATTGTTTCATAATATAATTTTTTTACATAATTTATGAAAATAAAAAAGAAGATAATATTGTTATCAAAAAAAAAAAAAAAAAGAAGATAATATTATTTATGAATATGACAAAAATTATAGTTGACTGCGCGCATGTCTATTAAAAAAACCAGTATAAACGTTGCCCTTCTACCCATTTTTATCTTTTCTCTTTTTCTTTTAAATGTTAAACATAAAATATCTTCACTAAGAATTTTTATCATATTAATTAAGCACTCATAGTTTTATCATTTGAAAGTTATTGTTTATAAGAGTTTTGCTGCTCTGGATATTCAGCTAACTGGAAATATAAATATAAAAATTATTAATACAATTTTACTTAACCGTTTACATTTTTTTGATAATTTGAGTTTTGATATGGTATTGAAATCTATGATGGAGATATTTAAAATTCAATTTTTGTTATTTATTTTAACTATTATGGAATTTTTAAGCACATAATTGATGAACTAGTGCATCATACATTTTTCAAGAACAAAAATACAAATATAAACACAAAAAATCTTACAGTTTAAGTTTATAGATAAATAATTTTTAACATGTGACACATTATTTTGTGTAAAAACATACATTAAATAAATAATTGTCTCAATTCATTACATAAGACTCACTGCACATTGACAAATCACTCTTACATTTTATATTTATAAGTTAACATTTATAGTTAAAGCATATAGTTTAACTCACATTGACATATGTGTTTGTATTAACTGCAAAAGAAAGATGATTTAATAATAAGTAAATGTATAATCATTTTTCTTTAAAATAATAATGATAAGAGAAATTTCATGTTTAGATAGTTAATTAAAAGGTTAATTTTAAATAATATGTTTTTTTTATATTGTTTAAAAAATGATTTTTCCTAGTAAACTATCAATTATGAAATTATTTTAAATGTTATTCATTTCATGGTAAAAAAAAAACACCGGTTCTGTCAAAAAAATCTGAAATTAAGAATTAAGAATAAAAAACCTTTAAATTACTTCAAGAAAAAAAGAAGAAGTGGTTTTCATCCTTAAAAAATAATCAACAAATTTTATCTTTCTATTCAAACAAATGCCAATAATTCAAAACAACTCTTATGATAAAAATAAAAAAAAAACACTGTTGTATAAAATAAATAAACATCCCTAAATATGCACCAAGTTTCTAATATTTGAATATGATATTAGCATAATTCTTTATAAAATTACATTCTCCACTTGCATCCAGGTGACCAGGTACATACACCTCCAACATGAAAAAGAAAAAAGAAAATGCAAGTTCTAAAGTTAATACATTTAACTTAATGTTAATTAAGAAAATCAATTTTATTAAATTTTGTATAGAAAAACGTGTATAAAGTCTTTATTTAATTCCAATTGGTGGGTACCTTGTCTGCAATCAAATATCCTCATTGACAACTGCCCAATCCCTAAAACAACAAATTTTTTTAATTTAAACTAATTCCTATGGATGCTTAATAAAAAGCATATATCTAATCTCCATTAATATTCAGAGACTCAATAATAATGATATAAGAATAAAACAAAAATGCAACAACTCGGTTGGTAAAACCATGTCCATCGTAATACGTATGCACAGGATAACAATCCGGTAGCAGTTTCTCACGTGCGGAGAAGCTCGCACGTACCAAGCTGTCGGTGGATGGTAATAAAGAAATGAACACAGCAAGAAAGGTAAAAAAGGGTGTAGTTTCTTAGTTTTTTGTACCCTACTCTTTCCTTTAATGCACGCCACGTGTCCCTATTATTCTTTGAGTGCCCTTAGAGATTTTGATCTTCAATTACTATAATAACTAATTATGATGATTTCGTTTATTTTTATTTTATTTTTGCATTTACATCATGGAAATGGCAATTTTTTCCTTTAATATTTTAAATATTATCTTGTGTTATATATATATATATATATATATATATATATATATTATTACTACTAATGTTATTACCAATCAATTTTACTGTTAGATCAATTATATTGATCCAACGGTTATATCTATTTTCATCTTTGTATGGTTATAATTCTCCATATTTTATATTTATTTTCACCTTTGTATGATTATGACTTTCATATTTAATGTTTTCACATTAAATATGAAGGATCATAACCATATAAAGATAGAATAAATATAACTATTGGATCAACATAATCAAACGATAAAATTGATTGGTAGTAACACTAATAGATTGTTACAATATCCTACCCCATATATATATGTATATGTATATAGACACACACAAATCAAGTGTGAGTCTCACACTTTAAAAAAAAAAAATTCAAGATCCGGAACCGAATCCTGTTAAAAAAGTCAGGATATAGAACCGGATCCAAGACGAAACAATGTCATTCCTACAACATGACAAACTGATTGATCTCCCATATATATATATATGTATATATATATATATATATATATATATATATATATATATATATATGGCTTATCATTTCTCAAGCTGCTTGAGATAACTTTATCTCTGTCTACTAAATCATAACCGTACAAAGATGAATCAATAGTAATAAAAGAAAAGAGAGAGAGAGAGAGAAATATCAATTAATATAAGAAAATAAATAAATAAAACGACGTAGTTTTGGATGGACAGAGATAAATATATCTCAAGCTGCTTGAGAAATGTTTATATATATATATATATATATATATAGACACACACAAATCAAATGTGAGTCCCACACTTTAAAAAAAAGAGTCAAGATCGCGAACCGGATCCATTTAAAAAAGTCAGGATATAGAACCGGATTCAGGACGAAACAATGTCATTCCTACAACATGACAAACTGATTTCCCATATATATATATATATATATATATATATATATATATATATATATATATATAGGTAAAATTATTTCTGCCGCCGCTTTACGTACAACAACAACAGATGTATGGTTATGATTCTCCACATTGAATACTTTCATCTTTTGTATGGTTATGATTCCCCGCATTTAATGATTTCATATATATATATATATATGACAAGTATTTGATTGCTGCAAATACAGCAGCGACAGAAATGTAAACCCCATATAGGTAAAATTGTATCTGCAAGGTTATTTGTAATAAGTGCATCAAATTTTAAAAAATTTCTTAATTTCATACGAATATATTATTTTTCTTAGTTCCAATCTCTTTTCTATATTCTCAATTGGTCTCCTCACGCAAGGTTATTCTTCTTGTGTCTATTTTTTGGACAAATTTGAATTGCTCCCAATCAGATTGAGCATTAATGAGGATCAAGTTTTTGACTTAACGACAAAACTAGCTAGTCTAAAGATCAATTATATATATCATTAACCTACGATGAAGATATACACTTACAATTAGCAGCTTAGTTAACAAAATTTCTAAAAAAACAAAAATGGTAAAAAGGACAGATATTGCAATTGTCTGTTTAATATAGGAAAAGACAAACTAACCAAATGCTTCCATTAAATGAAGCTATTGGCACGTAATGTCATAAAAAAATGAAATTATACCTGAATCGAAAGGGACCAAAATCCCTTACATCTATTCTTGAGTTCTTACTCTTAATCTACTTTCAATTATTATATAAATAAAAGCAAATAAAGCGAATAATATTTAAAAATATTTATACATATTTTGACTGATCTAGTTATTCCAGTCAAATACAAACTATTCATAACAAAATCAAGAATTTATAAATAAAAAAAAGCTCATCTTAGTTCTTAGTAACTATTATCGTGTGTTTGGTTTTGATTATTTTGAAGAAAAAAATTGCATACTAAAAGAATTAAAAATATTAAATTCCCTATTGTAATTTTAAAGGATGAAAAAGGGAGCAAGCGTTACTATTTTATTGGATCAAAAGCAAAGTTTTGATTCTTAAATTATGCATTCTTGCAAAAAGAAGGGGAAAAGCACGTATATATAATAATAATAAATAAAAAGCTTGAAAAATATAATCAAATTTTCATAGGTTTCTTTTCAGTTTAACTTTCACTCTTGGGGGTAAACAAAGAGAATAATCAACCTCACACGTGTGACCAATAAGAAGCTTTGGCGGGTAAAACTAACTCACCAAAATTAACTCACCAATATCTAACACCAATGATTAGTCTATCCCTAAATTCCGTAACTACCCCTATAATGACACGTGGCTTCCAGAAAAGGAGGGACTCAGCTTCTTTACGATGAATCAAAAAGCACCAAAACACTATAACACAGTTCTCTCAGTCCGTTTTTTAACCATTTATGAAAAAACGAAGATTGCTTCGTTTCCATCTCTTTCCTTTTTCACCCACCAAACAGAGAGATGATTTTTAACTTAGTTATTATTAACTTATTTAAGGCTTAACTTCAGGGAATTAATCTTACACTTAAATTGTAAATAAATATTTTAATAAAGACAAAATGAAAATATTGAAAAACAAACAAAAATTCGTATCTAATGAGCTTACTTTTATTTTTTAAAATTTTATGAGGAAAATACTTAAGAAGAACTTTTCCTAGAAATTTTTTATTTTTATACTATTAAAAAGATTTTTTAATTATAAATAAGTTATCTAATACACGTTAAGAGCAGAAGTTACATTAAAACAAAAATTGATTTTACTCAGTTGCATTAGAATTAATTAAGGCTCAAAATAATTTTTAAACAGCCAGATTCTTAGAAAAAAAATTAAAACTAAGAAAATCTGATCGACAATTATTAAAAAAAAGCAGCAATTATAATTTGAACCGTGACTCATGAAATGCTTCCTTTTACTAGTTGGTCACAAAAAACAAAAGAATAATTGATCCTGTTTGGTTATATGATATTTTTAAGGACAATTATTAAAAAAGTAAAATTATTTGAGTTAATTAATTTAATGTAGTATATATGAAGGTCACAGGGTGTCAGCATAGTTAGCTGGCCACTCATTTTTATATTCATTTTTTTGTGTTTTCATTTTCTTCTCCATTCGATTTCTTCAGAACAGCAAGAGAGGAGAATCAATTCCTCATCATTGGAATTGTTTTCTCTCTGAACCCCTTCAGAAAAAATCGCAGCTTTAGATTCTAGCTGTTCCTTTTTTCTTGGTTAAGATTACGCTTGAAAATTTCTTATACTCACAGTTTCAGCCACATTTTGATACAAAGATCTATGCTTTAAGCTGTTTCAGGTTCTGGGTTGGAGTTGTTCTTCCTCATAAACCATTGATTCTTCTGCAAAACTGTACCCCCCCCCCCCCCCCCCAAAAAAAAAAGAAGTCCAAGTTTCTCTCTCTCTATCTCTCTCTGTGTCCTGAAGTTGAAAGCTTTTGTTTTTATTTTTTATATTTTCTCGTGTCTTTCTCTCTCTCTTTTTTGTGAGGGTGGACTTGTGGAATGCCGGGGTCAGAGGTTTCTGAAACATGTTGTTGTTGTTGTTGTAGCAGCCTTTTTGGTGAATTGGGTTGCTGAGGTTTCTGTATTGGGTGGTAGAGAATCTCAGTTCTGAGAGATCTAAGCCTCTTTTAAGGTTTTTGGATTCATCATCACACACCCTTTTTGTTGCTTAGTTCTGAAAGTGAAAGAGTGAGAGAGATTGAAGATGATGAGGATGAGGAATAGTAATAATAATAAGACAAATGGCCTTTCCCCTATCATGAATGGAAGCTCAGCTGGTTGCAGAGCTGAACCCGGTTCAATGGATTGGGAGAGGAGGCCAGGTGGAATGCTGGTTCAGATGCGAACCGGTAATTCGGATCAGAACTCAGTTCATGTACCAACTATTAGAGTTAGGGTCAAGTATGGTTCAATTTACCATGAAGTCAACATTAGTTCCCAAGCTACATTTGGTAACTCTTGGACACTTTTCAATTTTGGTTTGATATTTTGCTTTCTATATTTTTTCTTTTGTTAATTTTTCTTTCTTTCTTTTTTTTCGTTTTTTTTTTGGGAGGTGTTTTGGTTATGTTGATTATTGTGAATTTCATTCATTGTGTTGTAGGGGAATTGAAGAAAATGCTGTCAGGGCCAACTGGGTTACACCACCAAGACCAAAAGCTGTTTTACAAAGACAAGGAGAGAGATTCAAAAGCTTTCCTTGACATAGTTGGGGTCAAGGACAAATCAAAGATAGTGCTTGTGGAAGACCCTATTAGTCAAGAGAAGAGGTTATTGGAGATAAGAAAAAATGCTAAGATGGAGAAAGCTGCAAAATCTATCTCAGAAATCAGCTTGGAAGTAGATAGGCTTGCAGGGCGGGTATGTGTTTTTTTTTTGGTTTCATTTTTCAAACAGTTACTTAGTGATTGGTTTAGTAACTGATTAGTGATTGGAATTATTTAGGTATCTGCTTTTGAATCAATAATTAGCAAAGGTGGGAAAGTTGTAGAAACAGATTTTCTTAGTCTGATTGAGCTATTGATGAATCAATTGATTAAATTGGATGGTATAACGGCTGATGGGGATGTGAAATTGCAGAGGAAAATGCAGGTAACCTTTTTCATGCCTTTGGCTCTTTTTTGTGTTTCTAGTTCTTAAATTGCGTTAGTTATGCATTCTGGATTCTGATGGTAGTGAAACATTTTGAAGGTAAAAAGAGTGCAAAAGTATGTTGAAACTCTGGATATGCTGAAAGTTAAGAATTCCATGCCTAGTAGCAATGGAGGTCATGCCCCAATACAGCCTCAACAAAAGCAATCAAATGGGCAAAAACTGGGACCAATTCAAGAGCAACCACAAATGCATGCAAATGGGAATCATAGGTTGGTACCAATTCAGGAGCAGCAACAAGAACAACCAAGGAACTCAAATGGGAATTCCTTAGTATTTAAGCAAGAGCAACAACAACAACCCTCAAGGAATTCTACCTCTGGAGTTGTAGTTACCACAAAATGGGAGACATTTGATTCTGTCCCACCATTAATCCCAGTGCCATCCACATCAACACCCCCATCAGTGACCAATAATAATTCAGGTCATCCAAAGTTCAATTGGGAATTCTTCGACTAAAATACCATAATACCACGTGTTTGTAATTGTGTGGATGTGATTTGGGTTTGTCTTCCACTTGGCGTGTTATATGTTCTATACATTCTTTGCTGTATTTAGATTTGTTTAGCAACCCCTCTAATATGTCATTTACTTCAGAAATAAAAGGGGTTTGCTATAATATTGATTATCATAAAAAAAAAAAGGTTACATTTCTGTGATATTGGTGGTGTCCACTGAATTCATTTACCAAGTGTATTGGCCTATTTTTGTTTGATATATTGTATACATAATATTATCATAAGTATTTGTAGCTTTGTTATTGGAAAAATTAGAATTTAACCATAACATCTTAAGTATCCAAAGTTCCATTTAAAGAATGTTTTTGCTTTCTTTCCATCTCCATCTTTATGGGTGTGAAAGCATGTCAATGATTACTCTAGGTTTTATTGCGTTTCTTGGTGAAGCAGTATTGGTTGATGTCAAAATAACCTTAGCTTCTTGTGGGGGCTACAAACTGACAAAAAGACTCGCATCTACTAAAGTGTTTTGTTTCTTGTAGTGGAATTACTAATCCCTTCAATGATAGGAAGCCACGTCCAAAAAAGTGTTTAGAAGCAAAATGATAACCATGATTTAGAAACTACCAATTACAAGCCATAACTTGAAATAATAATTGTGCCGTATCTGTATAAGTCTATAAGCTATACGAGATTTGGAAACTCTCAAACACCACTTCTTTGGCATCAAGCAAAGGCCATGGTAAAGGAAGAGTGAAGAATAAGACTGTTTGTTTCAGTGTGCTAAGTTTGCTGCACTGCAATGCAAACTAGTGTTATAATAATTATTCATGTAATGATTACGTATAGTAGCATATATTATAACAGGTGTCATAGTAAGCCTAGGAAATAATCATCAACTTTGTTTGTAGATAATGATTGTACTATTCAAATGCTGAAGAAAGCAATCTACCCGGGGAATGACATCTGCACAAATAATCATGTGTATGAACTTGTAACATGTATACCTAGTTCGTAACTTTTTGAAAGCATCAATGTGCCTTAACAACGAGGTTTTTTTTTTGGCCTTTTCGTTTGTTGAGGTGAGTTCGGTGATTGCACATTAATTTATGCAAGAAGGTTGGGCTGTTTGACCCAATTGGGTCATTTCAGGCAATAATTATCGATTGGTATTTAAATTCCTTTTGAGATGATGAGTGATGCAGCTCCTAGTTGCATTCCTTTTGAGTTCGTTTTGGCTATTATCCAAACTTTGCGTTTTGTGTTTAACATATGGGAAATATAACTGTAATGTTATTGGAAGAGAAACAGTGTTTCCTGCACTACCATCATTAACATCGATTGTCGTGCTTAACTTTTTTTTTTTTTTAAATTCATGATCCCATCTAAAACTGTGTCAGCAGGAATTTGATCCTTCTTCCTGTAACATGATATTCGCAACTCCCTTAACATATATTCTCTCTTCAGGTGTTACTAAAAAAAAAATGAATACAATTTTACTCACGTGTTTTTCCTCTCCTTTGAGTTTTCTCTCTCAAAGCCCCAGCCCTCTTTTTTTTTCAATAACTTTGGGTTTCAATCAAAACCCTTTTGTGCACTTTGATTCTCTTCTATTTATGTGGGTTTTCTTGCGGGTGGTTTAACTTTGTTGTGGAGTGTGTTTACAGGTCCTGATACTATATATGTTATGGGTTTGTCACTTTTATTATTGTTGCAGAAGAGAAATTTTGCAGCAATCACATTTGCGTTAGGATTTGCATGCGGATCCTGGCATTTTAAAAAAAAAACCAAGATCTGATGGGGTCAACATATGGCATTTACATTAGGTTTGTAGCAATAACATATGGCATTTAAATCTTTCCATATGTTATTATTTATATACTTCTCCACTTTTTCTCTAAATTGTTGTATTTGCTTTCTCTTCCTTATTGGACTCTTTCTAAACTCAAGATGAGGTCAACAGGCATGGAGGTGGAGAAGTTTGGCGACAAGGGTGACTTCAACAAGCGATGCAAAAAGATGAAGGTTGTTCTTGTGCATAAAAAATGTGCTAAGGTACTTGGAGGAGAGAAAGAGCTCCCATCAACCCTATCCCGTGAAAAGAAGTCTGATATGCTGAAAATAACATTTAATCTTCTCATACTTTACGTCTCTGATAACCTTCTCAAATAGGTTGATGATTATAATAACCCTAATTTTGTAATTTTGTAATTAGAGGATTATTATGAAGACCTTAGGGTCATAAATGGAATGAGGATAAAATTCTAAGAATTTTGATATCTATATTGATAGTATTCTACACAGGTGGATTTTCATTTGTTATTTTTGACTGCTGAAGCAGTAACAGTCAGTAGAATAGCTTCAAATTAGCAAATTTGATTATCATAGTCGGGTATTTTATACTGTTGTAGAAGCAGCCGGTAGAATCTCGAAATGAGAAAAAGAGGAGAAAATGGAAAGAAAGACCAATACATGCCTAACAAGTCGTAATTAGACCAATAATGTTAGAGTTAAGAAGATTATGAAATCCGGGTACAGTTAAGAACACCGGTAAAGACTATAGTGCAATTACACAGTAGTAAGTGAATCTGTAATCTAATAATCAAATTTTTAAGTTATGAACATGATAATTAGAAAAACTTAATATTAATTACTTAAAGTTAGAGTCTTGAGAGTTTTCGGGTGAAAATTTGATAGCAGTTCAGATAAAAATTACACCGGGTGTCACTAAAGGACAGAAAGTCACTTAAGTGACTTGGTCAAAACCATAGAAGACTAGGGCAGCCCTCCTTCCTCCCATTTCAGCGCCTCCTTCTCTTTTTCTACCCATTTTTGAATTTCAAACTTCCTCCTCCTTCTCTATAGATTTTCACTAACAAAATTCCATCAAATCACCAAACTTCCTTCACAAAACTTGTTCCTTTCATCCTTCTCTTCAAGAACATACCACTTTTGTTCTTGAAAACCAAATTTTTGTGGTGGAAACATCCCCATACAGCCCTCAAGCCATGGTGATGGTGTTTTGACTTCCCTTTGAAGAACACCACTTTGGTGCTTGTTTCTTGAATCTTTTTCTTGAAAAATCCCATCTTTGAGTTGTGTTCTTGAGTTCTAACCTTGAGTCTTTCTTAAAGATGTGTTTTTGTAGAAAAAGATGCATCTTTGCTTGAGAAAAGTGGAAGCTTGAAGCCTTGGAGCTAACTTGAGGAAGTAAGCATGAATACTTGGTGAAATGGTGACCAAAACGCTCCCCCACCCACCTATATGATTCGGCCAACATGGGTTCTTTATGTGATTGATGTTGTAATTTGATAAAAATGAGTTCTTGATGTTGGAAAGTGTAAAAAATCATGAGTTGAACCAAAGAAAATGTTAAAAATGCAACCTTTAAGCTTAAGAACATTAATTTTGCTTAAGAATGAAATTCAAACCCTAATGACATTAACATGTCAAATCTTCCCTAACGAGTATAATTAGGATTTTATATTTAAAATTTAATTAAATAGTGAATTAGTGGACTAATTAAGTGTAAGACTTAATTAACTAAAGAAATGCTGAAGTTGTCAAGCTAAAAACCCTAATTTGCACTCCTAAACAATTCGGCCATGTAAGGATGACTTAGGGTTAGCATTTTGAAATTTATTTCAAGACCTAATTAGGATACTAATCAAGGGTTGAAGTGATTTGGATCATGCATAATGAATTAATTAATTATAAAACCCTAAAAATAAACTAATTAGGGTTTAGAAGCACTAATTATGTAATTAGTGAATGTAATGAACTAAGCCCTAATATGACTATGTGGGAATGCATAAGTGACCTAGAAATAGAGAAACCCTAAAATTAAAGTAACTTAGGGTTTCTAATCAAAGATAATTAGGGTTTGCTAATTAAACCTAATTATGGAGCTAGTTAACAACCTAGGCTTAAGACTAGTCTATGGAGACATGAACATGTAATCTAATGGAAGAAAATCCTAAGGAATCACACCCTATAGATTTCGACCATGTATGAAATAATTAGGGTTTTAGATGAAAAATTGTGTTGAAGGATGAGTTAGGGTTTAAGGTGTGTTCAAGGCTTGAATCAACTTGCAAAGTTAAAATCTAACCTAGGGCTTGCCTTAGGATACATGTTCGGCCTTGTGAGAATATGATGAGTGGACGTGTTGAAAAATAATCTAAGTACCTTAGTGGCCCTAGAGTGTGGTTCTAAGGTTGTGTAAGGTGTTTGACCTATGTGGTTGTTAGAGTAACAAGTTAACACTTCATAATGCACTAAAAACATGTAATTATGCAATAAATGGTCTAGACTTGTAATGGGCATATTATTGGCATATGAGTATGAACAGTGGAATCATTAAATGACTAAGTCTTGGATATGACTTGATTAATTAATATATAATTAATGATGTGAATGGTTTCCACTCTAGGTGTGCTTAGAGAACCTTGCACTTAAGGATTATTTTGGAGCATATGTATTATATTGGAGTGTGGGCTTGTGCTAAGCTCTTGATTTTGGTTTCTCCTCTCTCTTGTAGCCCCACCATGATGGTGGGTATTATGGTTGAATTATATGAAAATATGTGATATGTTGTATATGTGCATTCATTCACATTCATATAGATATTTTATGATTCTTGAGTTTATGATGATGCATTGATGATGTATGTTATGAGGATCCTGACAAGTGATCTTGGTATGTAGACTGCCTATGACTTGACCCTAGAAGTTATTTCATACTACAATTTGTACTGACTGCTTATGGCTTGACCCTGGGAGTCACACTAGACATGTGGAACATGTCAGTTAGCTATTCTTGGGAAGAGCCCTTGAATAGTTAACCAGAGGATGGGTTATGATGCTATGTTTATGCTGTATGTTTGTTATATATGCTTTATATCTGACTTGTCATGCAGGAAGTGGGCTCAGGGGATTAGAGGATCCTCTAAGAACCTTGAGCTTACTGAGATGTTGTTATCTCACCCCTTTTTGGGACATCATTTCAGGTACCCATGATAGCAGTGAGTCTTCTAGGGGCAAGGGCCCAGTTACAAATTAGTGGATTGATGCTGCTGTTTATGTTACGCTATTGTTTTTGTTATATGGCATGCGTAGTGTTTTGGCATGCCTAGTTAGATTATTTTGAGACTATATTGTTGGATGTAATAATGCTCAGAATTGTTATTATTTGAGCTTCTGGATTATGGA